ATTCTATTCTATTCTATTCTATTCTATTCTATTCTATTCTATTCTATTCTATTCTATTCTACTCTGCAATGACAGAAAACAGAGAGACAATTGTCATTTATTTTGGCAAACTCTATTCTCATGAAATCAACATGAACAATCATATTTGGCATTGGAAAACATGGACAATGTGTATCATGAAGTAGTTTGCCTCTACTTAACCACTATTCTAATCAAACAAAGACAGAAACTCTAATACAGATGGTTCTTGCTTAGCAACTACAGTTGGAACCAGCAAATAATCAGTATGCAAAGTAGCTGCTAAGTAAAACTGCAACTGTGCTTATGATCTTACTTCAGCTTTCCTTTGCTTTTTCATCACCATAACTACAAATTGTCACTAATCAAGATGTCACTAAATGAGGAATACCTGTATAGACACAGACAGAAACAGGTATACAAGTCTGGATATGGGTATATTGTATGTATGTATATCCATTCATAGATAAATGACTATAGAGAGAGAGCCAGTTTGATCTAGTGCTTATGGCTTCAGGCAAGAATCCAGGAGACTTAATTCTAGTCCTGCCTTAGGCATGAAATCCAGCTAGGTGACTTTGGACCATTCAATCTCTCAGCCTAACTCATCTCTCAGGGTTGTTATTGGAGAAAACAGAGGAAGGAGTATTAATATGTGTGTGCATTATTTATAAAAATAATAAAGGTGGGATAAAAAAGAACTTTTAAAAAATGACCTACTGCATTCCTTTTGACTCCTAGTTGCTCAGACCTCTGTCTGCATAAAGTACTGCTAGCCTGCAGAATAGTCTTCCTATAACAGAGTAATAGAGTTGAAAAGATTCTTGGAGGTCTCCTAATTCAAGCCCTTGTTCAAGGCAGGAAGGCCTATATCCGTGATGGCGAACCTATGGTATGTATCACCCCAGCTCAGCTCTACTACACATATTGCAAGTTTGCTGTTACCAGTGCAATATAACATGGTATTATAACTTCAAGTGATCTTGATGCTGTCCCTCTATTGATGCAACCTATGACTCCATTGGCCTTTTTGGCATCTGCAGCACACTGCTGACTCATACTTAAGTGATTGTTACCTTCCCACTGAAGTGGTGCCTATTCATCTACTCACATTTGCATGCTTTTGAACTGCTAGGTGGTCAGAAGCTGGGGCAAGTAATAGGAGATCAGCCCGTTGTGCAGTGCTCAGGTCTCGAAACCAGGCTGTCAGTTTTCCAGCTGACAAGCTCAATGTCTTTAACTGCTGAGCCATTGTACCCCCTTCATTTATTACAAATCATCATTATTACTTAGTACAAAGTTTTTTTTTTCATTTACTAAGATTCCTCATTATTATTTGATACAAAGATAGATAGGTTGAGGGCTATATGCAGCTATAAAGGCTCTTTTTTTAAATGTCCCCAGCCCATTTCCTCTCAGAAATTTCATCTTAGATGAGTAGTGACAAATTCCTGAAATATAAAATACAATTCCCCATGGTATTTGTCATAAAACAAGAATGGTATATAAATCACAGTTAGGTTTAACACACTTCAAAAACAATGCACAGCCACTGACATTCCAGTGCCAACAACTGTGTGATGTCATTACATTATCATTCTGTCCACTCTGCCTCTAAGCTTATCAGAAGAGAAATAAGAGCACTCCTGGCCTTCTTTTGATTTAATGTCCTACGGGAGGGAGCCCTGGCATTGAAAAGAGATTCTAAAGATGAGATCATATCTTAGGCTGACTATCATCTGTTGACGGAAGTGGAATAAATACAAGACAGAAAAGAAAGTAACCAAGATAAGAAAACTTTAAGACTACATGTAAACTTATACATAAACTGTGCAAGTGCTGGTGGATTTAGGGAGGTAAGTATCTGAAGCAGTTAACTCAAATAGGTTAATGCTTAATATCTTTCTTCAGTTAATTAACTTGATATATATTTCTTATTTTCCAATGGAAGTACAGTAGGTCCCAACTTTAATCAATCCTTCAAGCTTCAAAATAGTCTAAATATTTGGACAAAACAATTTGCAAATTAACTGCATGTTATTCTTTTTGATGGTGATTTTGACATAACAATATAGTGTTTATCTTCCAGCTTCTGTTCGAAAGGGTTTAAAAACACAAAAAAGCCTTACCGTTAAATGTACAATCTCTTTTCATGTACACAAAGTTCTCTTGGATTTATCCAGTTGAGCTGAAATGGCCGGAGAATGCTTGGAGCAAAACACTGTACAAAGAAATCTGAGGAGGCAGGAAATAAAATAACTGAAATGGATCCATGTGACATGGACTGTTAAAAATAAAACTGATGTACTCAGCAGCATGATTCACTTTATGGAACACTGTCCTTTCATGGTATTTCTCTCCACTACTGCTAGAGTGATATTTAACAGAGTTGCTGTTGAACAGGTGATTCATATTTTAATAAAGGACACTATTACCAGTAAAGGGCAATGATATTTTCTTTGCTGTATTATAAAGTTTTGCATTCCTTCTGCCTTTTATTTTTCACTACAAATATTTTTCCTCAACCTTTTCCATACTTAGCAGCCAGATCACAAATCTTTATTCAGTACAAAATATCTGAAAACATAAAGTTTAAACTATCATTATGAATCTTACTGACATTAAACATTAAGTAATAAAGCCAAGTCCAAATCATAGTTAAGATGCTTGAAAGCATATATGGGTTGGTTGTTCTTTTCTTCCATCCTAGGCAGCAGCTTTTCATTCCATTTTCTAATGAGTTTTATTCTGGTTTTATAGAATTAGGCCATTATTTTGACTAATGCATGGATCCTACTATCCTACTCCTTGCAAATTTCTTTTTAACCTCATTTTGAAGCACATCTACAGTAACACATTTTCTTCAAAAAAATAAGCACAAACCAGGAAAAGGGAAAATCTAAAAGGGGTTCATAAGCATAACAATATTTATTTGCTATATTTATAACTTTGCTTTCCAAAAAACCCTTAAAGAGCAAAACAAAGGAAAACTTCACAAAACGTCCATTCTAAGAAAAATATCTAAAATCAAACAGTATATGTACATTTATTTTAAAAAAGCAATTCAATTTCCATAGTTTACATGAATGTGAAAGACTGTGTGATACTTTTTGTAGATTAAAAGCTAAAGGACAAAAGTGCATTTAAAAAAATTAATAACGTAAACAATGGTTTTCTGAAATAAAGGACTGCCCTCTATAAGGACACATCTTCACTACAGACATATCATGTCCAAAACTGAAATACTTCCCATTGTGGCCAGTTTGCTTTTGGATAAACTTCCAAGTTTTGTTAAAATGGAGCACGCAATATGAGAAAATATTGACAATTGAATTAAATCCCAATCTGACTATAAATTGGTCAATAGCAGATTGTGATTAAACCTGCCATTCCCTTCTTAATTGTTTTCCCAGTTCTATGTCCCATCTCATCACTGTTTCTAGCTGTTTAGTAATTGTATACAGGTAGTCCTTGACTTACAACCATTCATTTAGTGACTGTTTGAAGTTACAACAGCATTGAAAAATTTGACCATTTTTTTTTCACTTATGACCATTACAGCATGCCCAAAGTCACCATGATCAGAATTCAGATGTTTGGCAGATTCAGAATCAGAATCAATCTTTATTACAGTCACAGACCAGCACAAAAATTAAATGTTAAAATAAATATGTTCTCTAAAAATATTGGAAAATAACTAAGCAAAGTAATAATATGAATAAGGATAGTTACCGGTAATTATTTAGGTGTTTTTTCCTTATTATAATTACAGCAGCACAAAATTTTGCTACTGCAAGAATGGTATCTGGATTTGAAACCTCTAGGAGATAGTGCACATAGAAATTATCTGATTTCCCTAAAATCTCTCCAATAGAGGGAGGATATACATTGATCTGATGTCCCTGTAGAACTTGCAATGCAATATAAGATATCTTCAACTTCCCCATTGCCAAATGTACACATTCACTCAGCTATTGGAGTTTTATCATACCTGGCCTGAAGAAAAGCTGAGGGGATGTTATTAGAGCTGGCTCTAAAAAATGCTATTCTGCTCTTAGGAAAAGTCAGATCTTTCAGATACCTTGCTGGTTTCCACACACCCCATTTAATACGGTTTCTGCTGTGGAGAGATATCCTGTTAAATTCTAGCTGGAACTGTATGTCTCCTATTCTATTGGTAACCACTTGCTAGGCTTGATCCTGGGGTATAAAAAATAGTGGGGAAGGTCCATAGAAAGCCAGCTTATGCTCCATCGCTTGTTCATAGGGGGAGGGGAAGTTGTCTATCAGGACTAAAAGGGTCAAACCCACTGGGAGGAATGGAATTTTCAACCAGGCCCTTATTTGAATTTGAGCCATTCCTGTCTCAATTCTCAACTGCACATTTGATGTCACGTTAGGTGCAGCTAAAATGGATCACAGGAATTTTGTTTGCATGGTTTCTTTAAAAAAAATCCTGTTCGTGCCCCACAGAGAACTTGTCTCAGTGTTTTAGCCTCAACTAGTTTTAAGGCTGCAGGAACTAATTGTCCTCCACCAAGGTAAAAGAAAGTGTTTTGATAGCCTTTGAAGACCTAATAGCTGATTGCATTGTATGGTTCAGATGTGCCTTCCAAATACCTTTCTTATGGAAAACCATCCCAAGGTACTTGAATGTCTTCATCCCTGGCATACTCCACTTTGTGCACTTATTGAGCCAGATAAAGTCCCTTGTGGGTTACACCTTACTTTTAAGGTGGAGTTAGAATATAGTTTTTATATGGGATAGAGGAGGGGTTTATCAATAGCAGTACTTTTTAGTTTATTCCAGAGAGTACTTCTGGATATCGAATCAAAGGATTGTTTAAAGTCAAGGAAGGCTACAAAAAGAGAAGATTTCTTTTTATATGTATATTTTTGTACAAGGTGGTGAATACCAAACTATGATCAACTGTTGATCTCCCTTCCCTGAATCCAGCTTGTTTGTCTTTAATTATGCCTTCTGAGATTATCCAGTTTTGAAGTTTGTGGTTTAGGTGTTTAGCATACAATTTGCTAACAACATGCAGTAATCCTGTAGTTTCATGGATTGTTTTTATTGTTTGGCAACTGGTTCATATTTATGGTGGTTGCTGTGTCTTTGGGTCATGTCACCTTTTGAGATCCTCTGTTCTGACCCAAGCCTGGTTCCAAGAAAGCAAACACAAGACAAAGGCAGCAGATAAAAGGATGCTTCCAACTAATTAGCTCTGACAAGAAAGAGCCTTGCCAAGTTTTTGCAAGGCTGCCAAAAAACAACAGATAAGAAATAGTTTACAACACAAGAGTCTTCAAATACCAACTGTAATGTCCACGAGGCTGAATTTCAAAATGTCTTTGCTTCCTACAAAGAATGTTCGCTGCACAGCTCCCTTTTATCTTCTTGAAGGAGGGGCCATTACCTTGTAGCCTTACTCCCGAGTCGCCCATGCTGTTGTAGCTGCTCTTTCCTGCGAGCAATCCTGCACGCACACGCACTTGGCACAGGCTCCTCGGGAACCTCCTCATCGCTGCTGCCAGCCCCACAATCTCTGAAGGCAGCAGTCCACTCTCTAATGGTCCTGGCCCCTCATCTGAGTCCTCGCTCTCCTCAGCTGTCTGCAGCTGATGCCGGCTAACCACAACATCCTCTGACAAGCAAAGTCAATGGGGAGGTGAGATTCATTTAACAACTGCAGTGATTCACTTAATAATTGTGGCAAGAAAGTAACTAAAATGGGTCAAAGCTCACTTAGGAACTGTCTCACTTGGCAATATAAATTTTGGGCTAAATTGTGGTCATAGGTCAAGGGCAACATGTATATATTCACCAGCCTGTTTTCATGGGCAAAAGTGGCAACAGAAAGTAACATCACAAAACAAAAGGGAAACAGGGTACCTTTCCATTCTTGTTTTCATTCTATTTTTTAAAGTAATATGCAGTATATTTTAATTCCAATATAAACTCAAGCACACGAATTTGAGATATTCCATTCATAGATTTGTATTCCAGAAATGGCTTTGAAATGAGATTTCCTAGTTTGATTTTTGCAGCCTAACAGCCTATTGTTTTCCTCCACTCACACTGGATAATGCCTTACAGACTGGGAGAAGAGATCTAGCAGTTCACCCATTCCCAAGAGTAATTATATAATTATGAAGGGTTGTTGATACTAAAACTGAAACTCATGATGAACTACAGTTAGTATTGCTGGGGAGCTCTTAGTGCTTCTGCCTTTCATCCAGTATTAAAAAATAGCAAAAAAAAGTTTTAGGACCTCTGGCCCAAAGCTCAGGAATTAACAAACTTTGTAAGGAACTTGGTGTCTCTCTTGAAATTCAAGGATAGTTCTGTGCTGCCTTGCATGTAATTATAGTTTAACTATAACATTTGATTTTTAAACCAGTGAGATCAGATCTCTAGATATCAAAAGTTTACTGAAAAAGCTTTACATAGTCAAAAATAAGATAAAGCAACAAGCACAGAAAACTCAAATTAAAATTGAATTTTAATGAGTCTATGGCATGGGTGCAGGATATCTGCAGAACCATCCTTCCCCAATGGAATGGGCCCACCCCACTTGTGCTGGCAGAAGGGGCCTACTGTGTAGCTGGTGAGATCCCCTTGGAATATTTTGCTGCAGGAGGTAAGATTCCCCCCCACCCCCACAATGCGCCTTTTAGCCTTCAAGAAAATTTTTAAAACTTGGCTATGCTGTCTGGCATTGAGTTCTGAAGGAGAAGCTGTTGGGCTAGAAGTGGTTGGTGCATTAAGACAGAAAGCACGTCTTAATGTCGTGCTTGTCCACCTACCTCATGGTTTTTTAGTCAGTTTTAATTTTAATATTTTTATACTTATAATTGTCTGGATATTTAATAATAATAATATTTAATATTAACTAGATCTATATTATTAACTAGATCTATAGGATCTTGAGACTTCAAAACAGTTTTACATTGCGGAAAGGCTTGGGATAACTCATATGGAACAGCTTATCCATTCAGATCTTTCAGCATGGCATCAACTTACCAGATGTGCCAGTGGCTTGCCAAAAACCAGCCCCTGTCCTTCCTCCTGAAGTTTGGCAGACCTCTACTCCCCTGGTCTTTTGCACAGCACTGAAGACCTGGCTTTTCCAACAACTGCTGGGACAAGATGAGTGAATATCATACCAGGTTTTTCTTTAATGTGTTGGGTTATCATTTTAATATGGTTATTTTAATTTTAAATTGGAAGCTGACAAAGTTTGTTATAAGATGGGCAGCAATATAAATGTTTCAAATAAATATGAGTTTTTCAGCCAGGAACTGAATGGGAGAAGTACAGCCATATTAGTACTGAGACCACAGGATGTCAACACTCTGGTCTGTCTGGCACGCTATAGTAGCTTCATACAG